GGTGGGGAGGGGACAGAGATAAGGGCTGCGGAAAGCAGCAGTGGCAGTGTGGGTTGTGTGTGGATGTTGGGGGGGTATGGGATGGGTGTGGGGTTTGTGGGGAGTTGTGGGTGGGTGAGTATGGAGGTTTGTGGGGATGTGTTTGTGGGTATGGTATTATGGGCATGGGAGCCACAGGGTGCTGAGTGGGTGACAGGTAGGGAGGAAAGTAGGGAAAGTGTTAGCAGAGGAGGGGGGAAATGGAAATGAGCAGGTGTGCAGGAGCACGGGGCCTGTGGGACCCAGAGTGCAGTAGTAGGAGCATGGGGTGTGGGCTGGTAAGGGTCTATGGCAGGCGTTCCCAACCTTTTTATACTGCGGACTGGCAAACTGTATAATTTACAGATTTAAATTTAATTTACGTGTTTAAATTTAGTTTTTATGGGGGGGGGTTGTGAGGATTGTATGGGATTGGGGCACCGGGGAACCCTTCAGGGGAGGGGGCTGTGCACGCAGTGACCCAGGGGGACCCAATTGGGGCTGCCTGGGAAGAAGGGGCTCTGCTACCTTTCCTAGGAGCAAGCAGCAGAGCCACCTCCCCGTCCTCTGCCCTGGGCACTTCCCTGCCCACATCCCCCTGCTCCCAGCCTCAGGCAGGGGTGGACAGTCCTGCCCAAGCTGGCGCGGGCTCCAGTCCATGGGCAGCACCTTACCGGGCTCAGCCATGGCAGCAGGAGCAGGACAGGGCACCCAGAGCCCACTGCCTCCCTCCTGGGGCTGCCCTGCCACCCATACGCAACTACCAGCACCAGAAACTACAGGTTCTGTCCGGCCTGCCATGCACCTGTTCGCTCCCATCCCCACCTGCCCCAACCCCACAACAAAGCCGAGGACAGCTGCGAGCAGCCCTAGTTCTACATGCCCTGCATTCACCCATCCAGGCTGAGCAGCAGTGGTGGCAGGGAACAAGCTGCTGCTCAGCGTGGAGTAAAAGCAGCTGCTCCCCCTCCTTCTGCCAGCGCTCCCTGTGGCAGCCACCCAGAGCTCATGCAGTGCTGTCCTGGCTCTCCTCTGCATCCTCACTGTCCATGGGGCAGCAGTGGCAATGGAGAGTGGGCACAGGCAGCCCTGCATACTCTCCAAGCAGATGTCACAGGGATCACTGGCAGCGGGAGAGGAGGAGCTGCTTTTCCCCCATGCTCAGCTGCAGTTTGTTCATTGCTGCTGCTGACAGGCTGGGCCCCACGCTGGCTCTGGGCTTGCCCGTCAGGCTGAGCAGCAGTGGCAGGAGAAGTGGGACATAAACTGCTGCTGGGGTGGATGAAAGAGCCCCCCCCTGCCGCCGCTGGGCAGTGTTTGCTGGGGGAGCCCACCCTGCGCTAGGCTCCACTGCGGCTTCTTTGCCACTAGCTCTGTGCTGCCCAGCGTGGCTGCTTCACACAGCCACTGCAGCCATGCTGGGCAGCACAGAGCCGCCGGAAAAGGAGCCGCAGCAGAGTCTAGTGTGCAGTAGGCTCTGGCAGACTGCGCAGCAGTGGAGGGTGGGGGGAGTGCTTTTGCCGCTCTCAGCTGCAGTTTGTTTGTCACTGCTGCTGCCAGCCTGGGCTCTGTGGTGGCTCCGTGCTTGCCTGACAGGCTGAGCAGCAGCAGGGTGCAAACTGCTGTTGGAGCGGGGGAAAAGTGGATGCTCTCTATCCCACCACTGGTGCTCCCTGCAGCAGCTGCTTGGAGCCCACGCAGGGCTGCCTGTGCCCACTCTCTGTTGCCACCGCTGCCCCATGAGCAGCAGGGACATGTCAGAAAGGCAGGACAGCCCTGCGTGGGCTCCAAGCAGCTGCTGCAGAGATTGCTGGTGGTGGGAGGGGGAGGGGCCACTTTTACCCCACACTGACCAGCAGCTTGTTCTCTGCTCCTGCTCAGCCCAGATGGGTGAGTGTGGGGCGCATGGGGTCGGGGCTGCTCACTGTCATCCCTGCCTGTGCCGCGGGGACAGGTGGGACTGGGAACAAGCAGGCATGCGGCAGCCAGCAGCAGCCAGGCAGGAGAACAAGACCCACACTGGTGCCCCGGTGCCAGCACTGGCAGGGCCCAGAGCAGCCAACAGGAGGACAGGGTCCCAGTTGGCTGAGGCTCTGTGGAGCGGGGCCAGCTCCCCCCTCTCCCTGCTGGTGCAGTGCAGCCTAGCTCCATAGACACCTGCCAGGCCACACCCCTTGTTCCAACCACTCTGCTCTGGGCCCTTCCTGGCATGGGCCCTGTGCTTCTACACGCCCGCTTGCTTCCACTCCTTCTGCCCCTGCCGCCATTTTCCTCTGCCCCCCACCCCCTTCTTATCTGAATTTCCTGCTCGGGGCATGGAGGTGCAAACAGCCGCATGATCCCAAGCCAAAAGCCCTGCTAGGTAGGGGCTTCTAGCTGGGAGGCGGAGCCGGGCAGCCCTGCTATTGCAGGAGCCTGTGGGGGCTTCCTTTGGGTCCTACTGCCCCTGGCTGCTGTCATCTTTGACAGACAGCTGGGGCAAATAAATATTGATTTTTTTCAAAAAAAAAAATTGTAGAGGCCCTGTGAGCTGGATAGAATGGCCTGGCAGGCTGGATCTGGCTTGTGGGCTATATTTTGCCTACCCTGATGTAGACCTAACATCCAGCCTTTTTTTCCCCTACTCCCAGAATCCAAATATCCTGTTGTAATGGAGGGATGAGAAAGCAACAAGTCTTATACAACTTTTACCTTTCATAATAATGAAAGAGGCTTCCAGCCTATTCCCAGAGTCACATCTGTGGGACTTGCAGCCCTATGGTATGGAGTAACCTGGGAGTGAGAATAGAAGCAAATTTTTCAGTATTACTGGCTGATCTCATAGGATTACTGGTCTTCTATAGATAACAGAGCAAGAAGCACAGGAAACACCTAGAAATGTAATGGTTCATTTATTCAGTTCCAAGGAATTTGATACATTAATTGATGCAGGCCAGCTATTGATCTTAAAATCCAAGCCCAAATGCAGCTATTTCTGGTACTCAAAGGGGCAAAAATAGTTGACCTTTGTTTCCTTGGGAACAAGGTGCTCCCCACTCCCTGGGGGGGGAGTGTAAGAAAATAAAATCAGGTTTTAGCCTTTTACCTCAGTTTAGTGGGAGAAGAAATTTTTGAAAGCTTTATAATTTTCTTTTACAAGAGTAAATTTCAGTTTCTCAGCCACTTCCTCCATCTGTCCTTTTGTATCTATAAAGTGTAAGAGTGCTGTTGTAGCAATTATAAATCCTTGCCTCTTTGTATGTATTTAACAAATTGTATCTTGATTCTGAGTTGAAACCTTTATACGTTATTCTAATGCGCTTGATTAGTAATAATTGTGATTATTTTAGCTTGAAGTGTTTTTTTTATATGAAGCCAAAGTTTAGCTTGAGTTTCAGGGACTGCTTGGATTTTCATACAGTCCTCACTGTGGGTTCTGGGTCCCATGTATTTCTCTCATAAAACTAAACAACTAATTTATAGTTGTAAATTATTCACTACATTTTCTAGTAAGCTCTACAACTAATTAGAATTAAAACCATGGTACCTTAAGCCTTAAAAATTCATTAGGGAGAAGAATCATGTTTAGTAATAAAACCCAGAAGTTGTACACACATGTAATTACAACAGTTTCTGTAATAACACCGTTTTTATTTCCTTAATTATTCTGAGAAGCTTATTAATGGAAATATGAGAAGTAAATTGAATTTGGAAGACCAGAGAGTACAAAAACATATTTTTAAAAATCCATAGATTTTCACAACAATAACATAAAATGTGTTTGGTCAATGTGTGCAAAATCCGATTTATGACAAAAGCAGCTAAATGGTTTAAGAGAAACAGTTCATGAGTTTCTTAAAAGGCTCTTGTTTTCAGTGTTTTCTTCCCAAGGTATATTTACATTTTTTGTTTGCAGGCAGATTCTGGGCCATCTGATGAAGCAGCCCTGATCCTTCACAGAAAGGGATTTGATTGTAGACTCTCAAACAGAGAGATGGGGCTACAGTGTTCAACCACTCAGGGAAAGGTATGTTAAATTGTTCAGGGGGTTAAAGTTATTTTTGAAAGCGTGCTTACTTTAAAATGATTTACAGTTCTTGCTGAACCATTATTTAATTTGTAAAAAAATTCCTCATGGTTTCTAGATATTAATAAAAATCTGATGATTTGGACATGTAAGTGACTATTTAGGGATTAGCAAGTAACATGGCAACTTTTGGTTTGGCACTCTAGTCTTATTAAGCTCTTGGGAAAATAATTATTTTCAAACAGTAATCATTTTTCTTCAAAATATTCTTGTTTGGAATATTTGAATTAGAGTGTCCTAACTGTATTTGTCTTCTGCATGTATGATTAGTTAATACCAACATGAATTTTCTGAGTTGCTACCTTGACAGTTTGAGGAAACAATGTAGCAAAATCATGAATTTGTATCTAGGCCTTTGGATGGCCAACATCACTGTGACACACATTGATGAATTTTACTGTACCACAATTCTATGACACTGTGCTTATATTATTAGACTCTTAGAGTGCATCCAGACGAGCTCGTACATGCGGCTTGTAGTATGTCAAAGCCCTCTGAGAAGTTGCAAGAGGCATGTGCAGGAACAAGAAAACATTCCCTGTGCAGCAAATTGGCAGCATGGGAACAAAATTAGACCCCTGTATATCTGGGGGTCAAAAAAAACCAGAGTGGAAAAAAGCGGTCCCAGACTGTGCCCTGAGGTGGCCCAACTGATCTCTCTCTCTCGCTTTCTCTCGCTCTCTCTGTATATAGTAGTCTTTCATTTTAATTGTGGAGGAACATGAATTTTGGGGTATTTTACAGAGTGACTTTGGGATTTTTTTTATCAAGGATTTTTCAGTTTTCCAACAGGGAACACCAGAACTCTTGCTAGGGAGGCCAGTGGCAGGACCCGCCTGCTCAGAGCTGGCACCTTGGACCCAGCTGGAGGTGGCTGACCTCCTGGCCAGTTGGGGCTGGAAGGACATGCTATGACAATTCAAAGCAGGCTACCACGCACGGAACATCTTCTGGGTGATAGCTGCCCAGATGGCTGGGCAGGGGGCACACATGGCAGTAGTGCCACACAAAGGCCAACTTTGAAGCCCAGAGGGGCAAATGCCTCTACTGGCTGTGCAGTGCTCATCCAGGTCTGGCAGGTGTGCAGCAGCATCCCCCACTGCCAGACTGCTGCAGTAGGTAGAGGGTGCAGGGAACTCTCAGGGCTACTTCAGCAGTCCAGCTGGTACAAGGGGTAGTGTCCTCACGTACCAATTGGCTAGGCCACAGAAGCTCCTGAGAGTGAGTAGCCCTGAGCTACTTGACAGGATAGGTTTTTTTGTACTGATGGGGCCAGGACAGGGCAGCTTTTTATACGGCTGAGGACAGCACAGGTGCTGGTCCCGGATTCTAGCTCCCCCTGGCTGCGGATCCAGGAGGAGCCAGGCCAGTTTATTTTGCCGCAAGTGGCACAATTTGCCCCACACCAAAGTGCATGTCCAGGCACGGGCACTGAGGCAAAAAGCCCCAGCTCAAATTTTCACCGTTTCTATTTGAGCTACTACAAGCACACGTGCCTGCATGTGTGGACATGCCCTTAATGGCCATAGACCTTGGAGTGGTCATAATGAATCCACAGAATTAATATAATTTGATTTGGAAGTAGAAGTTCTCTGGAGGATTTAAGGGGGAAGATTAAATAGTTTTTGTTTCAAATTCTCATTATAGGATTACCAAACAAAATATCTAGCAAAAAAACCCAACTTTCTGTGTATTAATTAACCATAAGTCTGTGGACAGACCTGTAAAAAGCTTGAGCCTGAATTGATTCAATCTTTGCAGGTTAGTCTAACCTGCAGATATTGCACCAATTTGCAAGTGGGTAAACATTCACTTTTGATTCAGAAAATGGAAGCACATGCCTGCAGTGGCTCAGGCTAGAAACCAGGGGTGCTAGCGTGAACCTACCCCTCCCTTCCACACTGCTGAGCTGAGGTGTGGGAGGGAGTATGGCCAGGCTCCAGCAGGACACTATGATAAGGGAGGGGTTTAAACCCCCACCCTGGCCTGCACAGTCCCCAGCTGGGGTGTGCCTAGAGGGGGAGAGGCAAGCATCCCTTGCCAAGCTTTTGTGGACTACATGCATCTGTTGATACTGAGCTTTTCCATCTCCCTCTCCCTGCTACCTCATGCTGTCTACAACAAACTGACATTGCAAACGAGGTCATTTCTCACACCTCTGTCCCCACACTGACAGCATGCCAGTAGCAGCATGGAGCTTATCAGAACAAAAAGCTGATCAGCCCATCAGAAACAAAGCTTCTCTCTCATTAGTTCAAGCTTTTCTTAAACAGCTTTTTGCAAAGCATTTTTAAGGAAGAACGGAGGGACATTACCAGATGACCTGTTGATTAGCTCCAAAAAGCCCTAAACAGACACTGCCTTTGTTCTGCGTTTGTTCCAGTGAAATTGGAGATGCACACACAGAGACACCTCTCAGTATTAGCTAGCTTGGGGGTGGTGTGACTGTGACAAGATGATGGCTAGGCCCATGCCACTGGGGTCTGTGCTATGGGAGAGGGGGGGCTCCATGCTTTTGCAGAATGTAGCAAGTGTGAGGGGCAGGGGGAAGCCAGGCAGACATTGCTGTCTCCCAACTGCAGGCTCCACCTCCTTCTCAGCCAGCCAGAGATCCAGCTAGGGAGGAGAGGGGTGGGGCCAGCCCTACTCTCTGGAACAGATAGGCCAGCCCAGCCCATCTCAGGGCTGAAAAGCATGCTGGGGAACTCTGATTTAACTTAAACCAGGAAGGGTCTGGGACAGAAGTTCCATAAATTGGTTTGACCCAAATCAATCGAGTCTACATTCAGCCAGGTTTATCTTAAACCAGTTTTGGCCATTTTGAAACTGGCTTATGTTCACTGAACTTATGTTCTGTTACAGGTTTAAACCAGTTTCTGATCACTTAAACTGGTTTATGTGTAACATCTGTCCCTAGCCTAAATTGGCTGCAGTTAAATATTACAGAATGAATAGCGCTTGAATCATTTTTTTTTACTGACATCATTTATAACATTAGGAATTTTCAGTGGCTTATGAGAGCTTGTCATCATGTGTGTTGTTGCCTACAATAAGATGTTGTTATGATCATTATCTAGGATTAATGTAAAATTGGTTTCAAAACTTGTATTAGATTTTCTAAATATCATTGACGTTTTTTTTTGTCATTTTGGAATTTTCAGGTAAAGGTGCACAAACTCTTTAATAAGTTCAGTGTTGAAAGTCTCATACCTGCATCTTTATCTTTGATGCATTCACCTCTGGATGCCAGAAATATAAGTGAAATCAATATGAATTCTATGGAGATAAATACCTTCCGGATTCGACTGAGATGAAACCTGGCTTTAATATTCAGATAGTGAAGAGGAATCTGCAATTACATCTCCAAGTTTGACGTGCAATAAGAAGCACATTGTTATTCCAGCTTCTGGATACTGTGAGAAGACATGCATTTTAGAATTTTTTTGACCAACACAGTGAAAAGCCATGTTGCAAATGACTTTTTTGTTTTTACATAAAATACCAACATCAGTATAAGTTAATGCAACACATGAAGACATTTCTAAGGATGTTAACCTCTCTCAAATTGAATCTCAGGTTAAATGCTAAATAACAATTTAAGGTTTTTTTATTTTGAAGGGCGGGGATTGGATCTTAAATTACTTGTATTGCTGATCCTTGATTAAATTATATACAAATAATTGCAATGTTGAAATCTCTAATGCAGCTTGGCATTGAAATGAAATAAAAAGCTCTTGGGTAAAAGCTAATGTCCAAATATTTGCAATCATTTATATGTGACAATAATCTCAATTTATTCTTTATTAAATTTAACTTTTTTCCATGGAATGGAGATTTGAATTCTGTGATCTAGTGAAAGCCAGGAGTCTCTGTGATATAAGTGATGGTAGATTTTAATACTACCACCCACTTTGAGAATTATGTTGCTTAAAAACCATGGAATTTTAAGTTAATTCTGCAATGAAAAATAAAATAAATGTTTAATAAAACTCCCATTTTAGTACTTGACACATTGGGATATGTGCAATTATTCCATCATCATATAGATAAAAAAAAAAAAAAAAGTCAATCCATAAAATCACAAATACAAGATTTTTTTTACAAAACTCATTTGAATACTGATGTTCTCTGAAATGGGTTTCTATTCCAGGATTACCATATCAAGATAAATGTGCCTTATTTTTGTATATGTCTTGTTACTATTTTGGTGTCCACATTACTGTTTTTGGGGAAGGGTAGTTTATATAATACTTAAACTGTGTATCTTCTATTTGACAATGCTGGCCACTCTCTGATCTATGTCCTCCTGCACCAAATTTGTGCTATGTTACTATGAATATTTTGACTCTTTGAATGTATTAAAATGATGTCATGAAACAAAATATTGGAAGGATAAGATATGCTGTTAAATTTAAATTCAGCAACTATCAAGGAATCTGCACCTTGCTGCAAAGATTTGATAGTGTGCAAGACAGTTTGCAAAACCCATCATACAATGTGTATTTGCATTTCAGAGTTTGTGAACTGTGCATTGAGAATCATGTGCCTATATTTTAAAAATGCCACTTTTCAAACCCAATAATCACACATACATTGCCAATGTTTACCTTACTGAGGAATAGCTGCTTATTCCTCTCACATAATTTTTACCATACCAAGTATTTTGCATTGAATGCTGAAGCCATGTGCGTATGAAAATTATTTCCCTGAATAGAGCTACTGTTTACAATTAAAACATACTAATTTGCATTTGATTATGATACCCCATCCTGATCTTCCTTAATCGTCATACCTCTGACTTTCTGTCGTGCTTAGGCTTTACTTATGCATTCAGCAATGATTATCTTTAATACTAATAGATTAACAACTCTTCTTAACTGGAAAATACTAGTATTTCCTAAACATAACTGTCTGCTGTACTAATTTAATTGGATCATTTTGGTGCCGTGGTATATCAGATTTGTAGCTATACATCCAATTTTAAAGATACAAATAAAAGTAAAATTTTAATTTAATGTATTGTCACGGTTTGGATCTCTTTATCATGATTGAATAGTTTCCTTAATTCAATCTGCTCTATATTTTATAATTAAGAATTAAATATTTAGCAGGATTTGGTGCAAGTTAAGTGAAGAACAGAAAAATCACTAACCATTTAGTGGAAAAGTTAGAACTATATTTAAGTATATAAAGCAGAAAGTGGATGTTTCCATGCAATAAACATGTACTGTAAGTCTTGGTAACAGTATTGGAAATTATTTCCCTTTTAGTTGAAATTTGCAGATTGGTAGACTTACCAGCAGAAAGTTCTAGTAGTAATATTTTTGGTTGCATCTTTAGAATGAAAATGTTTGAGACCTCTGTGCATTCTGTGCAAAGAGGATACTTGAAATACTATCTTAAATTCTGTTAAGCAGAAAAGTAAAACTTTGATGCAATAAATTTTAAAAGTATTCTTGCCTGTTGGACTTGTTTCCAGAGGACCTGTTTCATATCATTAATAATTGTATTATCTTCTTCATTTGTCATCAGCTGTACAATCATGATGCCTGAATACTCCTTAACCAGCAGAAATCTCTTTTGTTCAAGTATATTCTAAAATTGTTTTACATAAAAAAGAATTAAATGCCTTCTGTTTGTATTATAAGTTTATGATGAAGTAATGACTTGGAGTTAATTTGAAACCCAGTACTAAACTTTTGAGCTCAGTCAAAACACCAATCAAAATTAGTGAAGAGATTTTCACTTTAATTGGTACGAGATTGGGCTGTTGCTATTTTCCATATCTCCTGTAAAAACTGACTCAATACTTTAATTGCAATACTTCACTTCTGGTGGCACTTGATTTTCTGTACATTTGCAATCTAATCATATTCCTTTGTATCTTTTCTAACCCTTAAAGCTGCTCGTATTTTAACTACTGGTTAAGAGAGCCAAGCATCTTTGTTTTACACAAATATGGATTTAGAGAAAACGCTGTACAGGGAATGATTTAAAACATTGTAATTATTTTCATATCAGAGTTGTACCTGTCCTTAAGGTTTTTTTTTCTTCACATTCCCATATCCTATATGTCTTTGATTTTTCTTGACCATGCTGTCTCTGAAACAAACCGATTTAAATTGAAGGTTTTTGATATTTTCTCTTGGAAGGTTTTATATCTTTTGGGGAAATGTAAAATAAGATCTCTAATAAAAGATAATCTGATTGTGTTATGTCTTCTGTGTCATCAATGCCTTGGCCAGAGTTTATTAAAAAATAAATCTGATCCTTTCCAAAGGTTGGCACTTCAGTAGCATTTGTTAGGAACATGGATGTTCTATTGTGAAATGCATTGCTGTTGTAAGATGCCCCATTATGTATTAATGCCAAGTGTATATAAAGGATAGATTGTAGCTTCAGGGAACTAATGTGACTTCTGAACACCAAAAGTTTCATCTGTTCATAGAGAAAAAGAAAGGCTTCTCCGTGATTACCCGATGAACAGAGAAGTAGAGCAGTTTTAAAGTATTTTAGAAGTATTTTCAGTGAGAGTTGAGAAAAATTTGTCTCATTTCTGATTTTATGCACTTAAGAGTGATGGAATGGGGACTGCTCTTGTAATTTACTACAGCAACCCCATTAAGTTTATTAACAAATGCAGACTTTTGGAAAATGCACTCACAATGACAGCACCCTTGAAACTGGAGTAGAATTTTTGAGTTAAAAAATATGAATGCTTTCCTTTTTCTAAAGCTAACTACAGCATGTCACGCTTAATTGGGACCCCTTTAATTGTAATAGCTGCTTTATTAGGATGCATCCCAAGGAATTGATGTAGCTTAATGATTGTGAATAGCAATAACTTATGTTTATTTACAATAGATTTAGCATAAACTTGGCTTAATCCAGAGAGCGTTCAGCCAGAGGCAAGGGGTTAACCCATGTTGAACCAGATGATAAGAACATGTAATTCCTTTTACTGCAGGATTTTAAAGCAGACATAAAATAAAGAATTCACTTTATAAACTATATACACTGCATTGTGACATGGAGTAAACTTTTCTGGAATACCAAGGCACTTTTTTTTAAAGTTTATCCTACTTTGGAGTCATAGGGCTCCTATACACGTGCAGGAAGCCTGCTCTGACGCTCTGTAATTACAGTGTGTCAGAGCAGACTTGCTTAATCAAGCCTGCTGGAGCATGGTAATTACTGCACTCCAGCAGAATCCACCATCATGTATATCAGTGTCTTTGTGCTGAAAAATGGCATTGAGACACTTTAAACTAAAGCTCGTTTGACGATATTTAATTCAAAGCAATCTGCCACCATTTTTCAGCACAGAGATGCCGATACATGTGATACTCTGGGCGCTCTTAAAGAGTGCAGCTCTGGGAGCCACGCTAATTAAAGTGCCGCCTCCCCGCCCCACCTCCCAGAGCATGTGTATAAACTCCCATAGTTTGTTAGAAATACTTGCACTGTGATGAAGGAAACTCTTTATCTCTGTCTCTCTGTGTCTCTTTCTCATGACTTTTGTATGTTTTTAGCATCATGAGGTTATGAAACACAGATTTTGTTGGATCTCACATAGCACTCTATCAAATTAAATTTCCAGGATAAGGCTGTAAAGGAATGGCTGTCAAAATTGATTATGGACCCCTTGCTGTTGATCCATGGAGAGCTGTCTGTTCACAAACAGTTGCACAAGATGCCCATAAGATGCGTTCTCAGTTAAAAAGGGATCTGTACTTCAAAGCAGACTTGCTTTTCTTATCATTGGACCCCGTTAGCTCCTTTTCCCCTTCCTAGCCATGTCTCAGTAATCTTTCCTTCTTTTCTTAAGATTGTAGTGTACTAGATACTGAGACTTACTGCTTGGTGTCTATACCACCGGAAATGAACTGAGGGGAAATGATATACCTAACTGTTGCCTAGTTCAGCATCTAGTCAGAAGAGGCCTCCACAATGCTAAAAGTAAAGGGTGCTTCATTGCTGGACATATTCCTAAAACTAATCCTGAGGAGCAATATGGAATACAATTACTTTTATAACCCTCTATTGGACTGCCCTGATAATCTGGGTTACGGATTGTTGGGTTGATGAATGTTTAACAGTAAAAATAACTGCTTGAACCTTTTGTTTTTTTTTAAAACATTAAGAACGTAAATCCTCTTTCTTGTAATGTGTATTAGTGACAACCCACATAAGCCTGTACAGCCTCTTGTTTAGTATACCAAGAGTTCTTGCCTCTGTATTCACTATACACAGAGGATATTAGAGACAGCTGATAGCATTCAGTGAAACCCTACTGTGGAATGCATTATACTACTTAGTTGCTTTTTAAAGTAAAGGGTGAAAGTCTGGCTATTTTAAGTCTCCTTCCCAATCGCCAATGTTTATTCCATCTAAAATTAGATTACATGATTCAGTTATTGGTTTGAGTGCTTCTTGTTTGATAGAGATGGCTGAACTCAAAAGGAAGCTTGGGTTTCAAGAAAAGTAGAAAGGCCTTCCAGACATTACAGTGGAGAAGAGAAATGACATCAAAAGAATTATTTTTGCAACTAGTTCTATATTTGTTTTATAGCACACAGAAACTGGTAACATATTTGATATCTGGATCTCTTTTTGTTAAAGTTATGCCAAACTTCCGGATCTGTAAGGTGACATGTATATCAATAAAATACAGCACAGAATTTTATACTGTCTGCAAAATGAAGTGTGTGAATCTACACTGAATACATTCTGTAATTGCAGTTATAGGTGAGTAATTTTATCTTTGTTTCTTGAAACATCATAGGTGACAGCAAAGTCAAGATACTATATTGTAAAATCCATCTAAACCTGAAAAATTGGGTGCTTCAGATCTCAGGACAGGAGACCTGTATAAGAAGAAGTGTGATATATTATTTTTAAAAATATAATGAAAGTACTTTTTGGTCTGTTTCCCTTTTGCTCTGCAGGGAATAATTTCCAAAGAAATAGCTGTACTAAGATAACTGCTTTGCCTTCTGTTGTCATACAGTGAAAACATGCAGCCTAATAAAGGAATAAACAAATGTATCTGACTTGAGTTGAATGACTGATCCTGTATGCCAGGGTTGTCCAACTTCTGGGCAGCTAGAGGCCACACCCTGCAGAAACTGCAGTCCTAGGGGCTGTGCACAATGCATGGACCACAGGTTGAGAGTTGCTTGCTGCTTGGGTGATTTCCCCCCACTACTCCCCCTGCTTCTCCCACCATGCACGCAATGTGGGTGATTCAGCTCCCTTCCTCCCGTCTTGGCCCTGCAGGCAGCCTGGCTGCTCTATCCACCAGCCCCTCCAGGCCCAGCGGCCAGATCTCCTTTGACTCCTGCAGCGCAGGCAACCTGCCCCCATCCAGCTTCTACTTCCTGTCCCTGTGTGTAGTGGGTAGAAGCTGGGGGAGCCTGAAAGATCCATCTTCCATGGCAGAAGCCATGGCAGGGTCAGGGGAGAGAGGAGATAGTGTCTGTCCTATTTGCCCTTTGGAAGTCATGTGCAGCCCACAGGCCACTAGTGCGACAGCTCTGATATATGAAAAAAGAAGATACAGACCAAATTTAGTATGTTATATAATTTGGCACGTTTTCTCTGAATTTATGATATTTATCTGTATAGATTTAAGATTCAACTAGCATAAAAAGTTATTGATTTTTAAAGAGCTATGAAATACAAACTTAATAGAAGATCTAGGCTAAACATTATTCTTATTTGGAAACTTAATTTTCAGATAAGTTAAAGAGGTTTGCTTTATTGTTTCCCACCACTTTTCATTCTGACACAAATCTGTATAGTAACTGACCATTTGTTCGAAACTTACTTTTTAATTGTAGTTCAAATTTTCATCCTTTTTAATGTCTACTTTTATGAACTAATTAGTATTTATGATGTACGTTCTACCACATGATGTTGTACTTGCCTAACTTTCAGCATTTCATCACATTAGCCATAATGGATTTAAGTTTTCTTATGTTTATATATGAATTAACCATACAACTAGTGAGAAAATAATGAAACTAAAAGTTTCTCTGCTGAAGTGTAAACCTGATGCTACTAAAGTTGCAAGATGAATGTTGTAAGAATGAGCCTACATTTCAGAGATTCAGGTTCATAAGGCATGGTATAATGGAAAGAATTTTTAAAGTAATGTTTTTAAGAATCTCTTTAAAATGGAAATGGTAAATTGTATGTCTTGAACTTATGTACACAGAAAATAGTCCAGTCAAAAAGATTGGATTCAAAGTCATTTCAATGCTTTTTAGTAACAAATATAGTCTTTTAGTTTAGACTCTAATCCAGAATCTATTCCATAGTGACTGATTTATGGCATTGGAGAGGGCAAATAAGAACATATAAGGTGCAGACAGAAGTAACAATTTTCACCTGATCTGGCACAGGAAGCAGCTTATAGCTATGACCAAACACAAGTGCACAGCTGCAAACAGCTTCAAAAACAGCTGATTGGATGAAAATCTGACCCCGCTCATTGCATAAGATATCAAATAAATATGATACAAAATGTAGCATCTTTTGTAATTTGCGTCTGCAGGGCTCCCAGCCTGCCGCTATTTTCAGAATGGGAGGGGGGGAAGGGAGCAAAGGGAGTTCAATCTCGGGGGGGGGGGGGTTTAGCACTCC